GTTGAATAACTGCTACTCCTAATTTTCTATCACATTTATCTAATTATTCTTTTGAATATGATTTATTAAGAAATAATATAAAAACTGTTCATTGACTTTACTAAGATATCTGATATAAACCTTTCTTTAATTTTTATATTCTAAATGATATTTTCCTGATTCAATATTCTTCAATTTTTTTAGCTTAAGAATTTAATTTGCTTAAAAAATTGATTAATAAAAATTATTAAGTAAATCATTACTTACCTCAGTGAACAGTGGTTTATAATCCAAATATGAAACGGTATGATAAATTTTACAACAATGAAAACACTGCACCTCCAATATAACACACTGAAATGAAGACCTGTCCGGATGTTTGGTCATTTAAGTACCAGACCGTTACCCCATAAAATCTGTGGTCAGTCTATTTTATATTAACATCCAGACAGGTAGGTACACCTGGTCATTAATTAATTACTGGTCAATTTCACTTTTGATTTCCTGTGAGACTTAGTTACCTAAGTTGAGTCCTGAATGGTCAGTTTGGTGGTCATCCCTTTATCTATATGTTCATCCCTAACATGCCCTCAGGAGAAAACTAGCTTAGCACCACAATGCTACTAACCCATATCAAAGTCAATTGACCGGTAGAAAATACCTGTAGTTTGGTCATCATAGGTCAAAACTATTGTCCCTCTTACTTATACAATGTGTGTTAAAATGGACAATTGAAGAAATTAGTCTGTCTAGCTTTGGTCAGTTAACTTGTATACATATATATCTCTAAGATCTAGGAAGCTCTTCATTCGTGGACCACTGACCACAGGTCATGCAACTACTTGACCAGAGGAGTTAAAATGTCTGGAGGACAGAACAATCTCACTTTGATGTTTTTGAATTCTATAATCCAACATAATCCAATTTGTTGTGAGCGGGATTAAGTGGTATTAAACATCCTTTTTGTATTAGGTCCCCTGTTGTAAACTTGTTTTCTTTCTCAATATTGTAATCAATTTTATCTATAGATCAGTTTTACCCTTTTATTGCAGGTTACTGTTATAACAGTACATGTATTTTAACTCCCTGAGGAACAGTTAATCCTATTTCTCACGAGACAGATTTACAAACCATTGTGTAACCTCTATCACCATAAACTTGTTTATTTTTTTAATATGCTAATCTACCTGATCCATTGTACATTTTTATTGTTAACTGTTGGTTTAACAGTATATCAGCCTATTAACACTTGTAGCTACCTCAGGGCCAATAATTAATCCAATCACAGGAAATCACCATAAACTTGTTTGCTTTCTGAATATTGTAATCTGAATGACCTGACACAGTTTCACTTTCTAAACTATATAACTGTTTCACAAAGAGCAGTACCTAGAATTTTATTTAAATTTTTCTGCAGATCACTATTATTTGTAATATCTTAATTTTCTTATTACTGATATCAAATAAAGAATACCAGGTAAGGACTTTATTTGCTCTATCTACTTTTTCTTTTATAATTTGACCATCTGTACCAGTAACTTATAAGCCCAATATTATAAAAGAAAAATGATTTTCCATTGCTTGTATTTAAATAATTATTAAACTATTAAAATTATTACAGATCATAAAATTTTCAATTGATTTTCATTTTAAATACAAGTTCAAATCATAGGAATTCAAGAAAAATCATTCCTGAACAAAAGTGTATATATATGAAATCCAAATTTCTGCGGTAGCTGACTTTTTTATTGTATATTAATCTGTCATAAAAAATAAAACCATGTATGGCTACATTTTTTAACATTTATATAAATTTATGAAAACTTCAAATACCTGTATTTTATTTCATCTTATATGAAATTGTGTTTTCATTCCGGAATGATGCAGCAGCATAAAATCAGTATGGAGAGTATGAAAGTAGAAATCTAAATTAGTGAGGACAGAAGTATCACAGATTTAATATCCACTACTTGTGATACAGACTATATCCCAATAACATACGATACCTGCCTGATGTCAATTGTACATGTCAATACAGGGTTCAATTCGGGTCACAAATACATGTAGATCCTAGGATTTCTATAGATATTGATCAATCTGTCAGAGTCTTCTATATCAGTCCCTTTCTCGATTGTTTCGCACAAAACAGAAACACAAAACGGAGAATGGCACTCAGCTTGTCAATACCCCAGCCCAGGTAAATACACAACCAGTACGAACTCTGTGACTCCCAGACCTGATGTAACCATAAAAGGTAGGTCCCCTCCCCATCAATACAGCCCCCTCCCCATCGATAGAGGAGCGGTGACAGACACTAGGGAAAGGAAGGCTGATTGAAAACCAGCGCTCATGAGCACACTAAGTACTAATATCGCCGCATCTTGACCTGTCATATCATATCAAATTTATGACTGGAGAAAAATGGATGACGGAGCAATGAATAGATTTGGTTCCAAACGAAACCATTGATAGCAGTAAACATTTCAGGCGCTCATTATTTAAGCATTAGAGCGTTTTTTACATTGCTTCAATTTATTGTGTTTTTATGGGAGAAGGGGAAAGCATTGTATCAGGGAGAGGGGGGACGGGTATAAGGAAAATCATGTTCATTGGAGTGCGACATCGCGACATCGTCCCTAATTGCTGGAGACCTTGTCAACATGTCAATGTTTATTTCAATCAGTGAATAGACAGATCTCTTCAGATATAAACGCTGTAAAGATAATTATCAGAGCCAAGTTCATTAAAACTTTATACTTTACCCAGTGACTATTCACTTTCCTTTTCAGAAAATCAAAAGAACAAGAAAAAGTACTCAACGGCCTGTTGATGGGAGAAGAATTATAACGGCATGTGCAGTAGATTTACTTCTAATGGCCAGACAAACAGCATTGACCTCATGTCAAATTTTGATTATTTTTTTTCCATTATACATGTGTACATTAGAATAAGTGTTTTTAAAAGACTGACATTAAAAATAAATGCTGAAATTGTTTTATCTATTGTAACTTTTTTCATCATCATGTTAATGTTTCATTTCACTTTGATAATGGTATGACCTTCTACGATGGCGACAATGATTGCTATCAGAACAAGACTTCCTTGTGGTTTCAACAGTGAGTCTGACACACAATTCCTCAGGGTCACAAATATAAAAGCAGGATTTCAAAACTTGATATACTTACAGAAAAAGATGACAAGCAAATTGAAATTTTTATAAAAGCATAAATAGGCATTAAAGTCTTACAGCCTTATCTGACAATCTGTAAGCTGTGTGTGTCATTGTCGAACATTTAAGTCAATGAAGTTTGATTGAGATATTCAAACCACTATTGAAATTGATACCAATTAATTCTCATACATCGGTGACCAAACATTGACCAAAAACTTGTGTTTAATACCAGGTCAGCACGCAACAATTTGTGAGAGCTACACAACACAACTCCACCTGAGAGGTAACTAGCTACCTGTTGACGAGATTTATACACCTGGAATCATTGTTGTCTTGTACACCTGATCAGGTAAAAAGATACCAAGACCTTAAATTCACACACAGATGAATGATGATAGAAACAAGCCTTACTTTAGCAGTAGAGGTATCGCTCACCTCCAGCATGGCCGATGACTCCTTCTTTGTAAAAAACTACTTTTTTTTGTTCGTACAGAAAAGTAGAGTAATGTTACATTTTATATATAATGTACCATTCACTGCAGTTCTACCAACTCGTGAAGGCACTCTTTGATTGAGTTATACGATCTACCTTATACTTTAATCCTTGGTAACTAGTTTTGGAAAAATGTTGGACAATGAAATGAATAGTCATGAGCCACACACTTTGATGTGATGCTATAAGATAGGTTGTAGCTTCGATATCGTTGACACAAACTGCTCTTAAATTGTAAATGATAAAAGACAGCACTTAAGTGACAGACTTTGTATAACTTCTCACTATAACTTGTAAACTATCTTCATTACAGATTTCAAAATTTTAAAAAATTAATCACAAACCTGATAAACTAAATGAAGCCTTTTTTGCTATTCATTACTTACACTGACAGAAATTTAAGTAACCTTAAATTTTATCAATATTAATAACACTGAGAAAATAATACTATAAATAAAATAAGATCATTTAAAAATTATCTTGTGAATTTTTTAACCCATTAAAACATTAATTAAAAAAAAAAAAGACTGAAAAACCCTTTCTTTTCTAGTCATTTTCAAAAAGGACAATTTCTTGTCTGCTAATGGCCAGACTTATCTTGTCTTTTCAAACCTTGAAACACATTTATGTACTTAAGTACTAAAACCACTTTCTACTGACTACATTTGACAATAATCCTACATCTACAAAGACAGTAATTAAATAAAAAATATTATGAAAAAAATCAACATTTTTATCTTTTATTTTAAATGTTTTTTCAAAATATCACACATTTTGTTTATATTTACCTACTTATTCTTTATAGATAATCTCTAATGCAAGCAATCATTTTTATTGAAAAATAAAAACTGGCATTCCCACTTTTACATGCAATTTTCATTGATAATTCATATTTCTTTTATTTGAAAAAAATATATATTATATTATTCTGATATGAGGAATGGAAGTTCAAATTTAACAAAATAAATCATTAAAATATAGAAAAAATACAAGAAATATATTACACTAAATTCAAAAGTATAAGTTTTCATAAACTGGTACATGTATTTTGATTTTTACAGAAAATATGTCCAATCTTTTTATTGAAATACAAGCATCTATTACATGCCTCTAGACTACTATGTATTTAGTACGTATATAGCATGTTAGCTGGCCCAATGGGAGTGGGTATAGCTGTATATATACCAGTGATGGAGTACTTATACATCTGGTATTACCTATACGACAGCCTGATACATCAATTCTTGTTAAAGGTACTGTTCTACTTGACAACCCTTATCATCAAACTCAATCATCAATATTGATAACCAAGTGATGAAATAAAGCACTATTATTAATTACATGATATAAACTCACCAGAATCAAGTTCATCAAAATCCCAGGTAGTTGAACATGTCAATATAAAGATTGTCCCAACATCATAAGCCTTGTATGTATATAGTCACAGAGTCCACACTTTAAAGTAACATTTTCAGGAAAATCAAATAAATATCGCGTATCCCAATATACACGCACATGTTAACATCACCAGGCGAAATGAACGTCATGCTACATGCTCACTGAATCGTCGATCCAGGGGCTGGATATTAGATCTGAAACCAGACAGACTGACCAATCAAAACAGGCCTTACAATAGGGGTTGATTATACGGTGTGCGGTGATGGGTGCACCACCCGCGCGAGGATTTGACAGCCCCGGGCCACAATTCTTCTACCCAATTACCTCCAAATCAGGAACAGTAGAGTTACATCTCGGCCCCACAATGGATCGCGACAATACCCGGCCCAGTCAAGCCTCCCTGTCACAATGTCTCCTCACTTCTCGGAGGAAGATTGACTCTGAAAATACCTGGTAGAGTAGTGTCAAAACACCTTGATGTAGAAACAGTTACAACTGGTGGCAGATACCGCAGCGATGTATCAACTGGTAAAAAATAGTCTGTGTCCTCCCATTCTTCATGTTACCTAAATTAGCTCAGATCCCCAATACTGTTAACCTTTTCAGTCTTAAAAAAAATCAACCTGTTTTAATGAACATTGGAGTATAATTCCCCCAACAATTACACTTCACGCGAGTGTTTCCGGTGATTCTTCATCTGTCTTACACAGGAAAACATAAAATTAGCTTCAATCCGTCAACCTTTGTTTAAACTATTAACTTTCACACCCTCTTATTTTCATTGAATTTTTTTTCAAAGAATTTATTCTGCTGTCGCTTTTCTCAGATCAATCTTAATTTGCATGTACTTTGCATGCTTTTCCCTGAAATGACTCTTCCTCAGTAAAATCAACTTTCCTATCCTACATTTTTTAATAAAGAGAACAGTTTTCCTTTGGAGGAATGCTTTGTCATTAAAGTCTATAAAACTAGGGTTAAAGGTTTACACCATTAGGATTGATATCTTACATTACAAACTATGTGATCAGACGGAGAAGTTTATAATGAAGAAGTCTGCTACTCTGCGTATTAGCGACCACCAAATTGCCCATTTAACATCTGGGTGTGAATGGGTTGTGTGTATTTGCCAGAAGGCCTAGTTAGAGTCAGTTAACATAACATTTGCGGTATTTCTTTTTTCAAATCAAAGATCAAGTCTCTATTGAGGAGTTTTTGACTACTTAAGTCCACTGATTTAAAGAAAACTTTGTCCTGACCATAATTAGCTGTACCCTGTGGAGAAAGGCATAAAGCCAGACCCATAGAATGTCGTGGTCCAGTGCTGGCTGTGTGTCAACCTCCATGACGCGGAGCCGTTACACATCTAACAGTGGGTACCAGTCGTTATAGCATGTCCGGTCCACCCATTACCTGGTGGGCTAGTCCTTTGTCATCAGTACCAAACAGCAACCAAACAATACAGTCCACATATTTTCATAGGATCACACAAAGTAATCATGGTGGAAACGTTCGAAAATTGATTTTGAAGAAAAAATTCTTTAATATATAGCTCTATAATGCCATTCTTTTATCTGAAGATCTTTTCAATAAAAGAAACATGTTGTCTAAAATTATTTGAAAATAAATATTAAAATCAAAGTTTTTGTATTTTAACCTGCCATATTCTTACAACTGAATCAGTAGTAAAATAAAATGCAGGAAAATACAAAATATAAAATAAAATAATCAAAAGCAAGTTTTCTGGTACGAAAATAAAAATAGTTTACGTGTATGGAGGTGATACATACTGACCAGATACATTTTCTTCAAAATTAATTATTATATCAAACATATCAAACCCTTCAAAAAAATCAAATCTTTTTCTACTTCAAAAATCCTTTACTTAAAATACCAGAAGGTAGACAGTAGGTTTTTTTTGTTTACAACTCTTACGATTGGTATGTTAAATATTTGTAAGAGAGCTTCATTGTTGAATTTGACATATGAAACTGACTATTACAATTCCTACCTTGTTTCCACTGCAGCAAGATCTACCTGGTTAATCTGTACACTGTACATAAACCAAATATTTAACTGTCTGGCGACCAAAATTCAAATTAGCAAATACCTTGAAAGAGAGGACACTATTTAAGCAATTTTTATCAAACACCGATGAAAGGAAACAATCTTTTGTACAACAGTGAGTCATTGTGACGAACAAGATGAGGATAATTGACACCTAAATATTTGAAGTCCGAAGAGACTGTAAAAGGACACCATTTTGAAATCCAAAACTTGACAGAGAGGAAAGGATAGTATACAAATGGGCGGAGTTGTGTACAGACGGGTAATAGCGACGCTGCCGCGGGGTTCAAACCCTGGTACCACAAACACTCGCCAAAGTGGCAGGAGACTCGTTCAATAGCCAACCAAAAACTGGCAGAGACGGAGGAAACGTCACACCAAACAAAAGCCCTATAGAAATTGATGGAAAAGGAATCTGCTGAATGAATTAAAATTTGATAGAACAATTTCAGAAATAGGAAAAGGGCAACAAAAGAAATGATACACTTTTTTGTTAATAAGGAAATTAGGAAATTTTAGATTTTTGTTTCTTAACGAGCCCACTTCAGTTGGGAGGATTCAGTACATGTTTACATAGCTGATCTATAGGACAAGTGAAATCTCCTTTGTAATATAAGATTATAATGACCGTGAATCTTGTATATCAGAAGTAAGCACTCCATTCATCACCCCTGTACTCACTCCTATTTAAGATACGAATGATTAGTACACAAATATATTTTGACAATTTTTGTTCTCAAACAAAAGAGTCTAAAATATTTGAACCTGATTAAAAAAAATCCGTCATTCAATGATCCTGAGCAGACGTCAAGTATCCTGGTGGAGTTGTCATCAGAGTCAAACTTGATACCTCTGACAGAAGGATTAACCTCTCCGTCAAGCAACACGCTGTGTCGACCATACAAACTACCCCGGTCCGTGGTCACAACTTGTGTGTGCCGAGTCGGAGATTGACATTATCTGATTTTTCACTTAATTAAGATTTTAAATCATGAAATTAGCGTGCAAATGTTGGTATTGTGAAACCCCGATTTCTGTCCAAGCTTCGTCAAATTCAGAGAGAGTGTTTCTTATCTGTATACTCCATCATAATTTAGGAGTCAGCTTAACCACCCCTCAGGATTACTAAAGCGGGTCTGCATTGTTGTGAGAATGCTTGATTTTTTAGTTTAAAACGTCGGACATCTACCCCATATCTCGTACTAAGCTCATGCATGCAGACTCCATAGGAAGTCAACACTGTCTGTTTTCTTATAATTTTGTTCAATTAATTCTCTGTAAAATGAGACAAATACTAAAGTAAAAAACGTGAATATCCCCACAGCATTTAGTCCTCTCTACAATCCTATAATTGGAATATAAACATGTCACCTAGATAGAAAAAGAAACATTAGACCAGTCCTAACTATCAGCTACCAACATAAACAAAACTGGATGAGGAGGCAAGCGCGACAGGTGTGATTGCCGCCTCTTCACGCTCCAACGACTTATTTTGGCTCCTGACTTGAAAGACTATAATTCAGATTGAAATCAATTTAGTGAATTAGTGTTTTTCTTGTCTAAAATTGCTACTGAATGCTATAAATTAGTAGCTTTATAGAGTGTTTACAATAACAAAGTTAAACAAATTATGGCCTTCCAGTATAATGAAACCCTCCATCTTGTATCTCGATCCCTCCAGTCCTGCTTCCTGTGTATACATGACTGGCTTACATGGAGATTTGTATACCAGCAAGTTAAACTGGGATGTTCCATTAAGTAGATATTTCAAAAACATTATTGTTCACAATTTTACATAGATTTTTAAAGCTGGCATTGAATGTCCAAAACATTTTCCTTTTTAAAAATCCTTCTATTAGCCTCTATGCTGTATATATGTACCGGGAAAATTTCGCCTAGTCAAACTTTTGCCCTTCACCCATTAAATCTATTTTTTGGAATACATTTAATTACTATTTATATTATGTTGTTTGATTAAATTGGCTGTAATGATAAATTTGCTCTCATCTTGGTGGGCGATAAAGACAAAAATTAAACTGCAGCAAAATTTTCCTGGCAACAGTACTTAATTGATCATGTATCACCAACCCTTGGTCAGCAGCAGGTGTAAAGCACCTATATCACCATGTCTTTGGTATTAAATCTGCATTGAAATAGTAGGATGGGTCCCTGCATTATAATCTTAACTGATAATAAAACAGGAGCAAAGATTTTAGAGAATATAAATACTGATAATAATAAAACCGGTAAACCAATAAAATCGACAGTCTACAAAAATATCACTCAACCAAGTCTGCAGTCTTGACATCTGTATGCAATGGCCAGAAGGGGATTCGAACCCCGGACCTCCAATCTTTAGACAGAGGCTCTAGCAGAATGAACTTCCTGGTCACCCACGATTGACCCATTCCAGTTCCGCTACCCTTGTATGCATACAAAGATATTGGATTAATTCCAAATATATTGTTTCATTTATATCGCAATGTTGCTAACATACATATGTATGCATATTTTTGCAAAACCTGTGGTACAATTCAGTGGAGAAAATAAACAGAAGTACATATACCTTGCATGTCTAAAGAATTGTTAAAACATAATTAGGACCATAAAATAACCACAAGATTTAATTAACACTCTTTCTTCTAATATAATCATGAGAAAACACTTTTACCACATCCCCCATAATAAACACCCTGGTCATAAACCAGCAGCTGACAACAAATCTACCACATTTGTCACCACCAACATTCCATCTTTCCTCGTATCACCAACATCTGACGACCACCCCCCGTCAATTTTGTCACATCCCTTCACATAAAAATGGCCTCTATTTGATTTCGCGTGGTTTTCTCACCAGTTCATCACTAATGACAACACTTGATTCTGACCAGGATAATTTTTAATCTAAATAATCATCCAGTCTGTCTGTTCCTTTGTTTCGGCCACACAGAGCTAAATGAATAGGGCCGGCCATTTTAATCAAGAGAAATACAAAAGCTATGGTGTTGTCATAGAGACTATGTCAACAAAGACACCGTGGAGATTTCCTTTTCTCCCTGTATCATTTCAGATGTTGA